GGTAGGTGGGAGGGAGGGGAGGGTGGGTGATGGGTATTGAGGAGGGCACCTTTTGGGATGAGCACTGGGTGTTGTATGGAAACCAATTTGACAATAAACTTCATATATTGAAAAAAAAAAGAGGAAGTAGCAGTGGAACTTCAAGAGAGAAGAAATGCACCCCATTCCCGCACATCCAGGGAGGGCACTGGAGACAAGGATGTAGGGGAAGATTTCATGTAAAGGTAACTCATAAGTTATGTTTGGAAGAATTTTCTGAAAGCAGAAAGAATTTCTGGCAGAGGGTACAGCTTGAGTAAAGGCCTGTGGGTGTGAACACACATGCAAACTCTAGGGATGAAAGCATCTCAGGATGGTGGCAACACAGTGTATGGAGGTGGGGGTATGGGGGGGCAGGAAAAAGGGACTGAAAAAGTAGGTAGGGGTCTTGAGTAAGAGGGTAACTGAAGGCCAGGCTAATAGGAAGGGAGGGAGGGAAGGAGAGAGAGAGAAGAAAAGAGAAGAAAAGAAAAGCAAAGAGAAAAGAAAAGAAAAGAAAAGAAAGAAAAAAGAAAAGAAGGAGGGAGGGAGAAAAGAAAGACGGAAGGAAGAAAGGGAGGGAGGGAGGAAGGCAGGGAGAAAAAATTTGTTCAGGCAGCAATTTGATGGTTATATGAAACACATAGTGAGTGGTAAGGAGGCATGTGCAGGGAGAGAGATTCAATACACCCAGGTCATGTATGCAGTTACTTTCTTTGCCCACTGACCAGACAGCAAAGTGAGTGGTTGAAAGTTAAGTGTGTAGTTAGATGTGCTATTAGCATCAGACCAGGGGCTCAGAAATGCCATCCCTCCTACACTCAAGGGTCTAGATTAAATGGGAAACTCATGTACTATTGGATTATTAACTGGTCTTGTGCCTGACATGCCTGCATAGACTGATAAATTGTGCTAGAACACCGAGCTTAGGCTCAAGACCAGAGCTTTCCCAGTACACACACAGTGACCTTACCCACTGTTATTGGGACCCAGTTAGCATCCTCGAGTGGTGTCTATCAGATAATTCTCTCTTGGAAAAAGGTGGACATGGTGGGGTTGGGAGAGAAGGGCTAAGACTTTCTCCTTCTCTCCTCCCCCAACAGCAATAACACCAGTGTTCTTTTTTTTTTAAATGTTTTTATTTTATTTTTGAGACAGAGTGCAAGTGGAGGTGAGGCAGAGAGAGAGACATATACACAGAACCAGAAGCAGGCTGCAGGCTCTGAGCTGTCAGCACAGAGCCCGACATGGGGCTCAAACTCACAAACTGTGAGGTCATGACCTGAGCCGAAGTAGATCACTTAATGGACTGAGCCACCCAGGTGCCCCAGTAACACCAGTGTTCTAAAAAGGTTTGACTATTTTGCCAAATATAGCCGGAAGAGGTATTCACAAGAACAGCAACAAAACCTCCCTGTTGTACAAGCGTTTCTTTTTCTAAAAAAACAATAATAATAAATATACAATCGTTTCTATTCATGCAAGTGCCAAAAAAACCACAAGAAATTTCCTCCTTGAGGCAAATATTATTTTGGGGATTCCTTAAGACTATGAGATGAAATATAAAATCATGGCAATCCATGCTGTTGACTCCAACCACGAGTTCGTGGAAGGTGAGCTCAATGCTTGCCCCTTTGGATACTGTCTAATTCAGTCAAGCAAAAATGGAACTTTTATAAAAGCATTTGCATGCCTCAGATGATGATGATGGGAATAGAGGATTCCGATCTTGTTCTGGTGACCTCTAGAAACCTCAAACTCAAAAGCATGAAGGTCTAACCCTCCGGGACACTTTGTGCTATCTCAAGATAAGGTTAATTAAAAGAGGCTTGGGATGTTTGGGGAGTTCTTCCTGAACTGAGGGTCGCAAGACACAAGAAGGAATGGATTTTAAATCTGCAGTCCAACTCTCTCTCACTACAGGATTCTTTGATCTCTTCTCAGGTCTGTTCATTGCTAAATATTTTTAAATTATCTCTTATGTTGAAGTAAACTCTGTTGTAAAGGAATATAGACCTGTCTTGCCAGGCTATCCTGACAGTTGCCATTGCCAGACATAGACAGTAGAACAGGGGGGTCATGAGGCAGGCCCCTGTGGAGTATATCTGTGTCTTCCATGCCCAAAGGAGAAACCAGGTCTGGACAGGGACCCGTAATGAGAGAAGGACTCAAGAGTTCTAGGGGATTTAGGAAGATGAGAATGGTGATAGAATCAGTTTTTAAATTTACCCTAATCTCCACATGATAACAGAGCAAATACATAACAAAATCAAAAACAATGTTAGATGGTATTCCTATGAATTCCCAAATATAAGCTGTGGGGACAAAGCAGCAATTGCCCCAAGATTCATATGGTATTAATGCCTGTGTGTGAGGAAGGAAGGAAGCAATGGGGTATCCGATAGACCTGGGAACAGGAGAATCTCAACAGAGGCAGAGGGTACTTACTAGAAAACACATGAGCCAGTCTGAGAGAGGCAGCTGAAGTGGGAGGCATTCTGCCCAAACCAGGAGTGGGGTGTGCAAGGTGTCTGGAGAGAGAATTGAGGAGCTGCCGCTGTCTATCTCCTATGGTATGGACTCCCGAAACTGACCACCTAGGCTCTCCCTCCTGTATTGCGGAGAAAATGTTGGGAGTAGAATAAAAATTGGATGGACAATAGGGATGGAGGAAAAGAAGCTCAGTTAAAAGTTGGGGGGGGGTGAGGGGACAGTCAGGAAATCTCAGGAAGTAAATCAGAAAAATTGTTAAGAAAAAGAACAAACTGGGAGTGGGGTAACACCTTGCCCATAATTCATATGTTGAAATCCTTAACCCTCAATGTGATAGTATAAGAAGATGGGGCCTTTGAGAGGTGGTTAGGTCTTTATTTTATTTTATTATTATTTTCTTAATGTTTATTTATTTTTGAGAGAGAAAGAGAGAGAGAGAGCACGAGCAGGGGAGGGGCAGAGAGAGGGAGACACAGAATCTGAGGCAGAATCTGAGCTGTCAGCATAGAACCTGACACGGGGTTCAAGCTCACAGACCATGAAATCATGACCTGAGTCGAAGTTGGACACTCAACCGACTGAACCACCCAGGTGTCCTGAGAGGCGTGTAGATCTTGAAGGTGGAGCCCTCAAGAATGAGGTCAGTGCCCTTATGAAAGGGACCCCAGAGAGCTCTCTTGCCCTCTTTCCACCATGGAAGGATACTAGAAGTCAGCAGTTTACAACCTGGAAGAGGGCCCTCTCCAGAATGCAACAATTCTTGCACCCTGATCTCAGACTTGCAACCTCCAGAACCAGGAGAAATAAATTTCTGTTGTTTACAAGGCATCTGGTCAGTAGTGCTTTGTGCTAGGAGCCTGGACTGACTAAGACAGTTATTCGAGCAAAAGTCAAGATCATGGCTATTTTGGGCAGGTGGCTGTGATTGAATGCAGCCCACGAGTGGGCTTCTGGGATTTGTGTGGTTTCCTATATCTGTGTGTTATTTTACCGTGAATGGGTAGTTGCAGGAGAGGGGGATCAAGGGGACCTCAGGTCCCAACTAATATTGCATACTAATACTAAAACCAATAGAATTCTTGCTCCTGTCTTTGGAGCATGTACCCTATACAAGGTGCCACACTAAGCATTTCACCACAGTGGTCATTTGCTCTGAGTCTAGAATCAAGTGGCTTGATTGTGTTCATTTATTAGCTGTGGTACTTTGGTAAGTAATTCTCTTTGACCCTCTATATGCTCATCTATAAAATAGGGTAATAGTAGTATACTATTCATAAGGTTGTTGGAACAAGTGAAGTTTGCATATAAAGCCCTTAACACAATGCCTAACTCAGAGGACATGCTCACTCAGTCCTAAGCACTGCTTCATCCCTGTGAGGTGTCTATTATTACTCTCACAGTATAGGTGAAAACAAGGTTCTGAGAGGTTAAGTCGTGGAATTATTCAGTGGTGCGACTAGGCTCTCACACTTTCCCTCAGTCTTCCCAACCCACTAACTTCCTTCAAATGAAAGACAGTAAAATGGCAAGTGATAGTGACCTGGCCTGGTTCCACAGCTCCATCTTGAAGGATATCTGAGGTCTGGCTCCCTCCCTTGCCTCCACACATGATGTTGCAATTTCGCTACCAGAGAGTGAATTCAGCAGTGCTGTCCACAGCTTAGTTCCCTGAAGCGTTCTTGGAAGAGACAGTAAGGGCAGGAAGGATGCATGGCTGTGCGGGCTCCTTCAGTGGAGGTATAAACAAGTCCCCACTCTCGGAGGGGGCCAGGGAGCCCAGATAGGCGGCTGGTTGGATGCGTCACACACACACACCATGCTGAGAGAGAAAATAAGTGGCATTCCTCTGTGCTGAAGTTTAAGCATAAACAAGGAGCAAGTACTTTTCATGATAATTACCAAATATTAGAAATGTATTGTTCTTTCCCCACTCCCAAGTCACTTCTAAGGAGCTCCAGCTGTTAATAATGTTCCGTGTACCACTTCCAGGGCCAGAAGTATTGTTCCAAGACAAAGGTTCTTCATCTGTGTTTGTTCTTGTTTCCCATCAACACTTGAAACGTAGTTCACCTACGTTTTCTTGGGACTCCGTGCGTTGTTTGGAGCTGAGAGGAATAAAGAACAAAAAACGAAAAACAAAACAAGACAAAACAAAACCAGCATTTGAGTTAAGATCTTAAGCGAGTCTTAATTTCTTTGATCCCCGACTATCAGAAAGGGAAGTAATATTTACCTCATAATAGAACCGAGGTGAAGACGACTGAGGGCACATGTGTGAAGAGTCCAGCATAGAGCTTGGCATACAGTAGGCACCATAAATGAAGGTGGCCCCTTCCCCAGCTCCCGTGCCAGCCCACCTTGAAAATGAGAACCAAAGTGGCAGATATGTAGCCTGTAAGCTTCTTTCCCCTATGGTATCGCCGGTAGGCATTATTAATTGATTCCAATATTCTGTCCTGTTTGAATTTGGTTGCTTGCGATCGCTACAGTAGAAAGTTACCACAAATTTAATATATTAAAACAACACAATTCTGTTGTCTTATAGTTTTGTGGGTTTGAGGTCTAACATAGGCCTCGGTGGGCTGAAATCAAGATTCGGGCAGGGCTGCTTTTGTTTTTGAAAATTCTAGGAGTAAAATCCGTTTCCCTGTGTGCTCCAGTTTATCCATGAACATAGCCCACCTGCATTTCAGAACCAGCAACAGGGCATCAAATCTTTCCCATACTGCTATTACTCTCTGACCATAACCAGGAAATGTCCTCCACTTTTAAGAATTTATGTGATTAGATTGGGCCCACCGGATAATCCGGGATTATCTCCCAGTCTCGAGATCCTTAACCTTAATAAGTCTGCAAAGTCGCTTTCGTGCTTTCGTTGGGTCAGGTAAAACGTTCTCCTGTTCTGGGGATTAGGACGTAAACATCTTTGGGGGCCATTATTCCTCCTACCACACTTCTCAGTGCAGTGCTGCAGGTAGTCACTACCAGCGGATCACAGTTTGACCTGTGGTCTGGGGGACGTCAGAGCTATCCCTACTTTGGAGATTCATCAGGAAAGGAAGAAGAAAAAAAAAGAAAAGCAAAGCTGGTCAGGGGATAATGGAAATCAAAAGAAGACACTTAGCCTCCTGCTAAACACTTTTTGCTTTTGTTTTTCAATCTACTTGCCAGGATTCTCCTTGCCACGGCCAGAAGTGGAAGCAGTAATGTCTGCTCCAGTAGCCGCGGAAAGGGAACATCCTCTGAAGGTTGCATTTCTACCAATGGGATCCTGGGGTCCCACCTCCGGGCCTCTCAGCTGGGGTCCCCTCACTTGGGATCCGGTACAATCACACACCAGCCTAAACGCCCTTTTAAAAAACGACTTTATTGGGGATATAACTGATATATGATACGTTGTACATATGCAAAGTGTACAATGTGCCAAGTTTTGGCATGTGTATATACCCGTGACACTATTGCCACAGTTACGATTTTGAACACATTTGTCCCCGCCAAAAGTCTACTTGTGCCTATGGTAACCCTTCCCTATTCTCCACCCCTTCCTCCCAGATAACCGCCAATCTGCTATTGTCACTCTAGATTGGTTTTCATTTTCTAGACTTTTATATAAATGAAATCATACATTAAGTACCCTTTTATTGTCTGGTGTCTTTCAGTCAGTAGGAATGATTTTGAGACTCTCAGCCATGTTGTATGTATCAGTAGTTCATAGCTTTTATTGCTGAGTAATATTTCAATGTAAACTGCAGTTTTATCTTTTTACCTGCTGAGGGAAATTTCCAGTTTTGGGCTATTACAAATAAAAATCCTATAAATATTCATGTACAAGTCTTTGTGTGGGTTTATGCTTTCATTTCTCTTGCATAAACACCTACAAGGGCAATGGCTAGGGCATATGATAGGTATATGTTTAACTTTCTAAAAACATGCCAAACTGTCTTCCAAAGTGGCTGTACCATTTTACATCATCAGCAGTGTATGAGAGCTTTAGTAGCTCCATGTCCTTGGCAATACTTACCACGGTTAGTCTTTTTAATTTTAGCAATTCTAACAGGTGGGTAGTGGTATTTCATTGTTTTATTTGCATTTTACTTAATGATGATAATGTTGACCATCTTTGTAATTTGCTTATTGCCGTCCCTTTATCTTCCTGGATAAAGTATAAGTGTAAATCTGTTATCAATTTTTTAAAAATTAGGTTGTTTGGCTTATTATTGGGTTTTAGAGTTCTTTATATATTCTGAATACAATTGTCTTGTCAGATACACGATTTACAAATATTTTCTCTCATTTTGTGAGCTGTCTTTTCATTCTCTTAACAGGGTAACTCAAAGAGCAGAAGTTCTTGGGGCGCCTGGGTGGCTCAGTCGGTCAAGCATCCGACTCTTGATTTCTGCTCAGGTCATGATCTCACGGTTCATGAGTTCAAGCCCTGCATTGGTCTCTGCACTGATGGCATGGAGCCTGCTTGGAAGTCTTTCTACCCTCTCCCGCTTGCATAGGAATGTGCTCTCTCTCTCTCTCTCTCTCTCTCTCAGATAAATAAACTTTAAAAATCTATAGGGGTACCTGGATGGTTCAGTTGGTTAAGCGTCCAACTTCGGTTCAGGTCGTGATCTCATGGTTCATGGGTTCGAGCCCCACTTTGGGCTCTGTGCTGACAGCTAGGAGCCTGGAGCCTGCTTGGAATTATGTGTCTCCCTCTCCCTCTAACCCTACTCTACCCACACCCTGTTTCTCTTTGTCTCTCAAAAATGAATAAACGTTAAAAAATTTTTAATTAAAAAAAATCTAGAGTCAAAGAGCAGAAATTCTTAATTGTGATATAGTACACTATCACCTTTTTCTTTCATGAACTGTGATTTTGATGTTATATCTAAGAAATCTTTGCCTAATCATAAATCATAAAAATTTCCTCCTATGTTTTTTTTCTAGGAATTTTATAGTTTTAGATTTAATATTTAGGTCTGTGATGTATTTTGAGTTGATTTTTGTATATAGTGCAAGGTATGGATTAAAGTTCTATTCCCCCTCCTTTGCCCCCATATAGATGTCCAACTATTCTAGCACTATTTGTTGAAAAGACTAACTTTTCTCCACTGAACTACCTTTGCCCCTTTACTGACCACCAGTTGTCCATATATCTGTGGGTCTATTTCAGGACTCTATTCTGATCCATGTATCTATTTATCTATCTTGACCCTAATGGTTGACACTGACAATTACTGTATCTTTATAGTAAGTCTTGAAAGCAAACAGTGTTAACCTTCTTTTTAAATTATTTTTAAAGTTATTTTGGCTATCCAAGGTCTTTGCATTTCCATATCAATTTTAAAATTATCTTGTCAATTTCTATAGTAAACTCTGCTAAGATTTTGATTGGGATTGTTTTGAAACTATACACTGATTTGAGTTATAATTGATATTTTAACAAAATTGAGTCTTCTGATCCATGAACATTATTTATATCTCCATTTATTAGATCTTCTTTAATTTCTTTTAGCAGTGTTTTGTAGTTTTCAATCTACAGATCTTAAATACATCTTGTTGGAGATAATCTGTAACTATATTTTTTGATACTGTTATAAATGACATTATTTTTAAAATTTTAGTTTCTGAGGGGTGCCTGGGTGGCTCAGTTGGTTAAGCGTCCGACTTCAGCTCAGGTCATGATCTCACGGTCTGTGAGTTCAAGCCCCGCGTCGGGCTCTGTGCTGTCAGTTCAGAGCCTGGAGCCTGCTTCAGATTCTGTGTCTCCCTCTCTCTGTCTGCCCCTCCCCCACTCAACTCTGTCTCTCTATCAAAAAATGAATAAACGTTAAAAAAATTTTAATTTTAGTTTCTGATTATTCATTGCTTTTATATAAATGTAATCTTTTATATTGATTTTGTATCTCGAAAACTTGGTAAACTTTTTTACAAGTTCTTGTAGTGTTTTGTTGTTGATTCCATAGGGTTTTCTACATAGATGATCATATCATGTGTGAGTAAAGACAGGTTTAGTTCTTCCTTTCTAATCTCCATACAGTTTGTTTTTTTCTCTTGCCTTACTGCATTAGCTAGATCATCAGTACAAATTTGAACAGAAGTAGTGAGAATGAACATCTTTTTCTTCTTTCTGATCTTAGCACAAAAGCATTCAGTCTTTCATTTTATTTTACCTTTAAGTATGATGTAGGGTTTTTATAGATGCTTTTTATCAAGTTAAGGAATTTCCCTCTATTCTTAGTTTGCTGAAATATGTTTTTTCTTTTTTTTTTCTTTTTTTAAATTTTTTTTAACGTTTATTTATTTTTGAGACAAAGAGAGACAGAGCATGAATGGGGGAGGATCAGAGAGAGAGGGAGACACAGAATTCGAAACAGGCTCCAGGCTCTGAGCGGTCAGCACAGAGCCTGATGCGGGGCTCGAACCCACGGACCGCGAGATCATGACCTGAGCCGAAGTTGGCCGCTTAACCGACTGAGCCACCCAGGCGCCCCTGAGATATGTTTTTTCTATAAAAAATAATGTACTTTGTCAAATGCTTTTCTACCTCTGTTTTGATGATTTTGTGTGTTTTTCCTTTTTACACTATTAATATGCTGAATTACATGATTTGTTAAATGTTCTATCAACTTTGAATTTCTGGGGTAAAGTCCAGAACAATGCCATTTGCTTGATCGTGATATATTATCCTTCTTACATGTTTTTAGATTTGACTTACCTTTTAGTTGACACTTTACTGCATATTCATGAGGGCTATTGGTCTGAAATTTTCTTATCTACTAATGCTGTCATTTGTAATGGTGGGCTCACAGAATAAGTTGATAAGTATTCCTTCCTCTTTAACTTTCTCAAGGAGTTTGTGTATTGTTTCTTTCTTAAAAATTTGATAGATTTCACCAAGGAAGCTATCTGGTCTTTGAGTTTTGTTTTTTCCTAAGAAAGTTGTTAACTACAAATTCAAGTTATTTCTTCTTGAGTGAACTTTGTTTGATTATGTTTTTCAAGGAATTCATCCATTTAAATTGTCAAATTTATTATTTATTTTATAGACAGAGTTGTTCATAATGTCTTCTTATTGCTTTGATATCTGTAGAATACATAGTGCTGTCATTTTTCTGATTCTGGTTATTGGGTTAATTTATGTCTTTTCTCTTTTTTTTCTATTCACTTTGGTTAGAGGCTTATAAATTTGATTGATTTCAAAGAATCAACTTTTGATTTTAATGAATTTCTCTATTGTTTTTCTATTTTCTGTTTCATTGATTGTTCATTGATTTTTATTTATTATTTTCTTTCTTATGCTTACTTGGCTTTAACTTACTTTTCTTTTTCTAGTTTCTTAAGGTGGGAGCTTGGAATTTGAGACTTTTATTTTTTAGCACAGGCATTTCAGTGCTATAAATTTCCCCATAAGCACTGCTTTAGCAGCATGGTATAAATTCTAAAATGCTGTGTTTTAATTTCCATTAACTTAAAAATGTTTTCTTCTTTCCCTGTTAATTTCTTCAACTCAGCTGTTATTTAGAAGTGTTTTAGATAGTTTCCAAATATTTGGGAATTTTATAGATAGCTGTCTGTTATTGATTTCTAATTTAATTTCATCTTCTCCAGGAAATATATTTTGTATGACTTGAGTTCTTTTAAATGTATTAAGATTTGTTTAGGTCTCAGAACTTGGTCTATCTTGGTAACTGATCCAAATAGTGTTAAGTGCTTTATACTTTTTTATATTTAATCTTTACAACAATGCTTACTATTATTCCCATTTTAATGGAGAGGAAATAGGTGATACTGTATCCCCATTTTAAAGAGAAAAGGCTGAGGATCAATCAATTTAAATAGCTATTTAATGCCAGACAGCTATTAAGTAGTAGAACTAGAATGTGCTTCCAGGTCTGACAACAACACCAAGCTATTAACCACTCTTCCACAATTCCTCAATAGCCATTTCTCATTGCGATAAGCAGGGGAAAACCACTTCTGCTCAAGAGAGTATGAGTTCAGAGGTTAATTCCCTCTCTCTGAAAGTTCTGGGATCTATCTCCTAAATTGCTCCTTCCTAGCATAAACACAATTGCTTCAGTTGTTGCAGACATAAAGGTGAATTTTGTGTGATGGTAAGAGATGCTCTAATCCCCAACTACTAATTTGAGTCAGAACCTTGCTTCTGAGCCCTGCTGCTGGCTGATGCTCAATTACTAGGTCACTCTAAGAGCACCCAAGAACAAAGACTGACATAAGGTACTTTTGCCTCTTTGCAGGTAGCTGGGCAGGGCTGATTGCCCCTCAGAGTCCAATAATACCGAGGGAGGCTTTGGTCTAGGGGACTCTGTTTGTATGTTCCTTGAATTTACATAATACCTTCAAGTCAATCTGGATTGAAATGACTATTTCCTTGGTCTTTTCTTGTATTTAACTGTCAGGCATTAAAAGCATCATCTTATTGCTAGTAAACATGATTACAGTGCTTGTTTACTGGGACTGATGCCAATCTGGGAGCCTATTAGTCCAATTCAACAAAAGAATTTTTGGTCATCTGCAGCTCTGATTATCCAAGTGATCTAGCCTCTTTCATACTCCTATTACCACAGTAATTTGACTCGGCTGTTAATGATCTTTCTGGCTGCATCCAAGGCCCTGCACAATGGGTTCATGTGAATAAATGTCTTCCAGGGGCATGTTCCACTTATATACAAAGTCAATTTAACTTCTACAGTTATTTGCAGGCACCCAAATTATTCATAATTGACTACTTCCTAATGCCACTTAGCCTAAAATCTGAAAGGAAAGGATTGTGCTGCCTAAGTGAGCTGCTCATTCCATGGTGCCATTTCTGCACCACTTGAAATGCTAAATGGTCAGCACCAAAGAAAGGGAAAGAACTCCTGGGGATCTTCTTTGAGCACCTAAATCTCTAACCTTCCACTGAAGTAGACTGGCTTTTACATGCTAATTATTAGCCTGCAGATTGCTAAGGAGTTAAAACTCTTTGGTAAGAATATATAGTCCCCAAAAGTTACTCTGTGGTGTGTAGCATCTGATTTAAATGTCTTCTGAGGAACATCGCAAAGGATGTAGGATGGAGTTCTACAGCAACTCCAAAGTCTAAAGAAACCACTATTCTAGTTGACAGGTAATTGCTTAGGTCTTTGCTTTTTCCTAAATGGAAACTACATGGTTGAAAGAAATCTTTCCTTAAGATTTTGCAAATTTTTGACAAGTCACTAGTTAGCAATGGCAAATCAGTTTTGGCTTATGTCAGTTGCTTGGCTGGCATTAGATTTTTGGGGTTCAGTTTTGAGAATGATTCTGAGATCATTTTCTTTTTTCTTTCTTTCTTTCCCTTCCCTTTTCTTTCCTTTTCTTTTCTTTTCTTTTCTTTTCTTTTCTTTTCTTTTCTTTTTAGAGAGAGAGAATGTGCATGCTAGGAGCAGAGGGTGAGGGAGAGACAGAATCTTAGGCAGGCTCCATGCCAGGCTTGATATCATGACTGTGAGATCATGACCTGAGCCAAAATAAAAAGTCGGACACTCGACCAACTGAGCCAACCAGACACCCCTGAGGCCATATTCTTGATCAATGGGAAAGAGTAAGGTGGTGATTGATTAGTGATGTCTGTCATGAACACAGTTATAAGGAATAATGGCATACCCAGAATGCTAGACTCTACACTAGGCACTGGGAATATAGGAGTGAACAAGACAGATACAGCTGATGAACTCACAAAACTCACAGGGTGGGAATGATGACTAAGGTCACTTCTTATTTTGTCATTTTAAAATTGTATGGTCCTTTTTCTGTCTACCACTGTCACTGTTAATGAATTATTGTAAAATAGCCACAATGCCAATTAAGACACAGTTATCTAGTAGGAGAACCTGATAAGAGGAAAGGTGTTCATTACATCAAGTAAGACTTATCTTGTAGTTATTGTGTTCTCTTTCTCTTCAAGAGCGCACAGGTCAAGAAGACCTTCATCTGATGAAGATGCTCCTTGCCAAACCAGTATACTTCTCCATGGGGCTAGGGGGCTGCAATCCTAGCCAGGGTCAACTCTTGTTTATGGAGAATGGAAAACAGTGGACAGAAGAAGATTATCTGTGGAGGTGGAATGGTGGATTGCTTCTTCTCTGGGGCCACATGAGAAGGCAATTCCTGAGAGAGCAATCAGACCAGAACAAAGTGCATTCACCTTCTTGTTAACTGATCAACATCTGTTTCCAGATGTTTCCCTGTGCTGGTTATATAGTTTGTGCTCATTCACATGCAAAGCCTCTCTCCGTGTAGCTCAGCAGATGCCATCAACAGCTCTTCAGTCTGGTAGGGATAGGCTCTGTCTGCAAGAGTCTCATAACTGCAACCTAGCAATGCTGGCACCAAAGTCAGAGTTCGGAACTCACTGCAAAAGGCACCCCCACGGTGCACAGATGATGCAGCGGATCAGTGTCTTTCTCACCATGGTGACAGCAGTTGACATGGAAACAGTTGTTCTCGCTTATATACATAATCATTGCCCCTCACTCAGGCTTGCCAAATGTTGAAAATATCTGTCTGCCCAGCATTCATTTCTTCCATCTCTAGGAAATGCACCAAGATTATCTTTTGGGAAATCATCTGGACTGAACACCCAAACCACTTGTTTTGGATATTATCTGTCCAAACTCAGCATGTGACCAATACCTGGTAAAACTGAGCCATAGGAATGTGTAACCAAGCCATTCTGAGCCCATGAGTGTCAGGTCCAGATTTTGCTAGAAGGATTGGGAAAGTGACAGGGTTTTGCCTGACATTATATGCTGATGGAAAAGAAGCCTGTGGCGGCTGGAAGCTGTCTGTACCACCAGCTGTGTAGAACATGCTTGAAAATAAAGAAAATTTAGAGGAAAAAAAGAGCTGAGGAGCTAAGAGAGACACAATATGCTGATAAAATATGAACACCTGCATGCAGCCTTACTTGAACTTAAATACACCTTTTGACTTTTCAGTTATATGAACCAATTTTTGCCCCTTTTGCTTAAGGAAGTTTGAGTTAGGCTTCTGTCACTTGCACCCACAAAAGTCCTGATCAATATACATGTTTTCTCCCTCTGTGGAGATTTTCATAGGAATTGAGCAGAACTAGAGATACACCTTTGAAAGTTTCAGCATTTGAACAATCTACACCTTTCTAGAAGCCCTGCTTCTGGAAAGATATCAGTTCATCGGCACATGACTAGTTGATAATTGCTACCTGCCAAGCATTGTGTTGGACACCATGGTGAGGAAGGAAGAAGCCAGCCAGGGGCCCTGTCTTCACAGAGTTTACAGCCTGGGCAGGAAGGCAGCAGTAATACAAGTTAAAACTTAGAGCAGAAATTCTCACCTTCAGGACCACAGCACACTGGTGAGTCACCATATATTATGAGGTATGCCACAAAGAATTTGTGACTCATGAAGCTAAAGTACCAATGTTGGCAGATGATTTAAAAAATAAACATGAATTAGAGTAGATTCAAGGTTATCACAATAATAATGTCATATTCATTCATCTGGTTCTTCAGAATGCTTTCCTGAGTGGAGAGAAAGGGTTGACATAATAGCTAACACCCACATACCTGTGTCTCCGGGAGTGTACTGTTCTCAAGGATGCTATCCAACCTGTGTCCCCAAGCAATGACAATAATATCCAAGTGCAGGGGCAGAAGGAGTGGCAACAACAGGAGAATTGCCCGCACTTATTGTGCACTGTTTAGGCACCAGGTACTGTGCTGGGAGCATTAGAAGGGCTGTCTCATTTACTGTACATGAGAAAGCTCTGAGTAATTATCCTCCCTGTCTGGCAGATCAAAGAACAACCCAACGCTAAACAGTGTGACTCAAGCACAACCGGTCTTCCGAGGAAGGCAGAGATCAGCATAGGCTGGATTCATTGGAAAAGGGTCAAGGGAGGGTGTGAGCCTCCAACAGGACCACAAGTGACAAGCAGAATCTGCACAAGCAGGGAGGAAGGGGGTGGACATGTGGGCTCTGATGTAAGTGAGACACCCGCAGCACACTGGTGCCCTTCTCACCGTCCAGGCACCTTTACAGCCGGTATCAGGACATTGTGAGACACGTGCAACTGCCCCGCACCTGCCTGGCTCTTGTGTGCACTCCTTCCCTTCTCTGGGCCTTTGTCCGTGCTGCTCACTCCACCCATGCCCCTTTGGTTAAGTGGCTCCCAAGAGACACTCTGGACACTCAGATCCTTTCTACCCTCTCTTGAGAAGTGGAGCTGTCCTTCCCTGGGCTGCTGGACAAACTTCAGGGTCCCTTCAGGCTGCCGGTTTCCTGGACTCCCCACTGTGGTGCTACCCTTGGCCAGCCCCAGCTGGAGACTTGTCCCCACTCTTCCTGTTGGCATGCCCCAAACTCCAGAGCAGCACACATAGCTGTCCTGCACCCCCTCCCTCTGTTCCTTTCACTCAGCCAGCCAGCTTGCCTGTTAGCCAGCAGCTGGCATCCTGAAAAAAACCAACCAACTAACCAACCCCAAGTCTGCTCGCTTCCCTTGCCAAGACCTTTACAGTTAATAAAGAGCTTTTAGTAACTGCTCACTAAGTGCCCGGCACCATCCCAAACAGCTGTGTGTGTGTTGCTTCATCAGATCTTCCTCAAGAGACCTTGAAACAGGGCGAGTGCCACCTACACTTTACCCACCAGGAAGCCGTGGCTCCAAGAAGCGATGAAACCTATGTCATTTTCCAAGTGAAGTGGGTAGCATGAAGCCAGACACACTGGCTCTCCTGTGTCTGCCAAGGCCTCCGAGATCCAACCCCGTAGCCTCAGGCTCCCCGTAAGGCCCTCCACCATCAACCCTTGGGTTAGTTCTCTAGTCTTGACTTCCCACGTGGCCTCACAGCACACTCTGACCACTGGAGCAGACAAGGGGCAGTGGCCGGATGTCCTCTGCCTTGCCCCCGCCACTGTGCTGTTGCGTATCTGGGTTCTCTACCTGAAATGCCAGCCCTTGCCATCTCCGTTTGTCAATCTACCCTTTAAACACTGCCTATTCCTCAAGGTTTTGCAATACGCTCTGTCACCTCATTGTCATCCAAATTAATTTCTGCCATTTCCACATATATCTGTCATATCTCTTTCACAGTGCATCTCTCTTATTTTGCCATTATTTGGGGATAGTTATTTTATCATGAATCCGTGACAGGCAGAAAGCAGGTTTTGTTCTTAGTGAGTTCCACCCAGGCATTTAGATCAGTGCCCTGCATGTAGGAGCCACTCACGAAATGTTAGCAGAGTTAGCTGAATGGCCACCAAATCTACTTTCTCGAAACACCTTTCCACAACAGCCCACCTAAAGGGCTTGGAATGTCCACCAGTAGAGTCATTCCTCTGATCTAAAATCTTGCCTCCAGAATGTCTCTGCTGAAATGGGAGGATTAACTCATCAGAACCTTGGGTTATTAGTAACTCAACCACTAAAGTTAAACCATTAGTTGGTCTGGAATGAATGGACTTGTTTTCCAAGGTAAGCAATGCCTCATTTTTCACTGTGGACACACTTGAGGAACTGCTCCAATCTACTTCTTTCAGCAGTGAAATGATTCCCAAGTAGTTGTGGGCTTCCAGTCCATTCCCTGTGATAATTCAATAGCTATTTACAGAGGACAACATGATCTTTCTGGTTCTGGAGGTGACATGAGTGGAATGGGGGGACACAACACTCCTGGGGTTCTGGCCACGAAGCTTGCTGTATCCCACTCAAAAGCCCTTGTGCAGAAACCCTGCAATGGAGGAGAGAGTGCAAAAGAACTCCAGCGAGCTGAATGTTGTCTTTCAAATTTATGTCCACCTAAAACCTCAGAACATGACCTTTTTTGGAAACAGGTTCATTGTAGACGTAATTAAGTTAAGATGGACATCAAACTGGATTAAGCTGTCCTCAAATCCAATGACTGGTGTCTTTGTAAGAAGAGAAGAGGACATGTCCACCCACGGAGTAGAATATGTGGAGATGGGGCAGAAATGGGAGGTACTCAGTTACAAGCCAAGGAATGTCGAGTCTTGCCCACAGCTACCAGGAACTAGGGGAGAAACATGGGACAGATGCTCCCTTGGAGCCTCCAGAAAGAACCAATCTTGCCAACACCTTGATTTTGGGCTTCTAGCCTCCAGAACTGTGTGAGAATAAATTCCTGCTGTTTTAAGCCACCAAATTTGTCATGGCAGCCTGAGGAAACTAGTATAAGAATCAACATGTACATGGGGCGCCTGGGTGGCTCAGTCGGTTAAGTGTCCAATTTTGGCTCAGGTCATGAGCTTGTGGTTCATGAGTTTGAACCCCACATCAGGTTGTCGCGCAAAGCCTACTTCAGATCTTTTGCCCCCTTTTCTCTCTGCCCCTCCCCCTCATGCCATCTCTGTCTCTGTCTCTCTCTCTCTCAAAAATAAACATTAAAAAAAAAAAAGGAATCAACATGTACAGGTGGTCTAACCTATACCAAGCACTTTACTTCTGCTACTACACAACCCTTAAGAAAACAGTTATTACCCCCTTTTTATAGATGGGAAAGACCAAGACGCAGAGAGGCTCGCTAGGAACTTGTCTGTCACGAAGCTGGAAAAATGGAAAAGCTGGGTTTTCAGTCTTTGAAGCTGTATTAGGCTGTGGGCAATCTTCTTCCATCCCTTACACCCTCTCAATTTTGTTTCCTTTGGGGTTTATCAAGTACCAGGCACTGCTGCAAAAGTCTATATGCTGGTTCCCAGGGCAGTTCCCTTTGTTCACAGGTGTGTCCCAAGTGCACAGAGCAGCTCCTGGCCTGTAATAGTTGCTTCATAAATATGGCTGAATAAATTAATCCTCCCCCAAATATCATGAGCTAGGTGTAATTATTATACTCATTTTACAGAAGAGGAAAATGAGGCACAGAGGAGGTCAGTAACTTGCCCAGAGTCCTGACCACTGGTATCAGATCACAGGGTGTGATTCCTTCCCTCACCCCACATGCCAAATGACACTGACATTTGTAAACCCAGGTCCTTAGAATGAACTGTTCTTCATCATCTTCACATCCCCGTAACCACTATCATTTAGTGCTAGTGCTGGGCAAAGTATTTTGTAAGCAGTCTGATCTTAACCCTTATTGTATACCTATGAGCTAGTTACTGCTAGCATCTGCTTAAAATACTGGGAACTGAAGCTTAGCAAAACGAAGTAATGATTCCAATGTCACGCCGCTGGTGAACAACAGGATCAGGATTCAAGGTCAAGTCTTTCTGATTCTAAAGTCTATGCTCCTAGCCATCAAGTAGATTGCCTCTCTTAGCAGGAGCCCCACTAATGTGAACAACCCCAAAAGAATAGAAGCTAGTGGCTACTGCCCTGCCCTCCTTGCCTTTCCTAGGCTCCCTCCTCCAGATCCACAGATGGGACTTCTGTCTCTGCATAGCCTTGGATTGTCTGTGCTCACTCAGCTTATCTTGGATTGGTTCTGTTTGCCTTCTGCCAGAATGTATAAGGGTCTTGCCTGGAGTCCTCTCCACCTTTCTTCACCTAAAGCTGAGGTTGGTTCATTCACTTGTCTGTCAGGGATGGGTTTAAAGATAGAAGAGGACCATGGATGCACCAGGGATGTAGCAGTGAAAAGGTAAATGCTGTTTCTCCTCTCGGGAGACTTCATCTAATGTTTTCTCTCTGCTAGTTCCCAAAAGTCCTATCTTATTTATTTCCCCAGGCAACTGCCAGCTTCATGCCATAGTGAACATTTTTTATGCAATCCCAAGATGCATTTTTTCCTGAACTAAGGATACTTAAAACAAAGATTCGGTAATGATATTGCATTTTAACAGATTCAATATTCCAGAATAATAATCATAATAATAATATGGGAGAATTTCTGGCATCAGAAAAGGGAGTAGCTTCATGGAGAAAGGTGGGAGGGCTTCTCACCCTTGGAATTGTACCATAGAGGTGGGTGTCCACCCGGCTTGTGAGAGAGACTGGTTTTGCCTAGAGAGACCTTACATTCTCTTTGGTCTGACTGAGTTTCTAAGAACATTTTTTGAATTTGATAGAAAGAACAATAAGGAAACCCAGAGAACATCTTGACCAGCCTCCCGCATTCACTAATGGAGAAAATGGGACTCTCCAAACGAAGTCACTTTCCAAGCTGACAAGCACTGGTTGACTGAGTCCCAGTACCTTCCCATACACACTATTGGGTCACCACATCAGTGGTCTTTCTGGATGTCCTTGAAATGCCCCAAAGTAGGAGAAAAGGGTTTTTCTTATGAGAAGGGAAGGAAAGGGGGTCATCCACAGCCTCTCCTGGAACTTGCCATTTATAATCATGTCAAGGAGACCTACCCTGGACTTGGCTCTGAAGCCCAGGAATAAAAATGTGAAGAGGAAGGAGAGGCTGAGAAGGGCCTTGATGCAGAGCAGGCAAAGGCAGCAAAGGTGGTGCTGAGTGGAACCAGGGCTTGAGGAGTTATCTCACCAGGAAGACAAT